TATTTTTATCGATTCTGGAAAAACTACAATTCTACAAGTCGAAATTTAGAGGGAAAATTCTCAAATAATTCTGATGAACACATTTAGACGAGTTGATTCGAAAAACAAAAATTGTCAGAAAATTCTTTAGGTAATTTTCTAAGAGTGTTCAAAAACGGTCAAAAAATTCATAACAAAAAACTGAGCTTTTTCAAAAGTTGCCTAAAAATCTTGAAAAAAATCTGGAACCATATTTTGGAGAGCTGATTCGAAAAACATGACGTAGTGATGGTTCCGTGTCAACATTTTCGAAAAATGCGGTCGAAAATTGTAATTTATTTTATTGATTCTGAAAAAAATATTGAAATTTTCAAAGGAATGAAGCGGAAATCTACAAGAAACTGGCTTTCGGTAATTTTCCAGGGGTGCTCGAAAAACGATGAAAAAATTCATGTGTCTTGTAACGAAAATCTGATATTTTTGAAAAGTTCCCTAAAAATCCTCAAAAAACTCTGAGAAACACATTTCGACGAGCTAATTGAAAAATATAAAGTCTTGATGGTCCTGGATCAGAACTTTCGAAATATTCAGTTTGAAAATGCAGTTTTAAATATGTATCTAGAAAATTCTCATTTCTCATTTTATTGATTTTAGAAAAGTCGTCGGAATTTTGAAGAAATAAAGTCGAAAATAACTTCTATAAATCTAAATGTACAAAAAATGTCTTTAGGTATTTTTCCAATGGTGCTCAAGAAACAAAAACACAGTAAAGAATTCAAAATTTTGAAAAGTTGCCAAAAAATTGTGACACACATTTCGACGAGCTGATTCGAAAAACATGACTTGTTGCTGACTCTGGACCAAGATTTTCAAAAAATTTGGTTAGAAAATAAACTTTGTCAAATAAATATCTCGAAAATTGTCACCTTCATTTGATCGATTCTAGAAAAATTGTTGCCATTTTCGAAGAAATTAAACCGAAAAGAACTTCTACAAGTCGAAATGTACACGAAAAATTCTCAAATAATTTTTATGAACACATTTAGACTATCTGATTCGGAAAACATAATTTATTAGTGTTATTTACAAGATTTTCAGAAAATGTCTAAATAATTTTCTAAGAGTGTTCAAAAACGGTCAAAAAATTCATAACGAAAAACTGAGCTTTTTGAAAAGTTGCCTAAAAATCTTGAAAAAAAAAACTGGAACCACATTTTGGAGAGCTGATTCAAAAAACATAAGGTAGTGATTTAAGTCTCAAAATTGTCTTATTTTATGGATTCTGAAAAAAATATTGGAATTTTCAAAAAAATGAAGCTGAAATCTACAAGAAAATGTCTTTCGGTAATTTTCCAGAGGTGCTCGAAAAACGATAAAAAAATCATATATGTCTTATAATGAAAAACTGATATTTTTGAAAAGTTACCTAAAAATCCTCAAAAAACTCTCCTAATTTGAAAAATATACAGTCTTGATGGTCCTGGATCCGAACTTTCGAAATATTCAGTTTGACAATGCAGTTTTAAATATGTACCTCGAAAATTGTCATTTCTCATTTTATTGAATTTGGAAAAGTTGTTGGAATTTTGAAGAAATAAAGCCGAAAATAACTTCTATAAATCTAAATGTACGTCTTTAGGTATTTTTCCAAAAGTGCTCAAGAAACGGTTCAAAAATTCATAGTGAAAAATTAAGAATTTTGAAAAGTTACCTAAAAATACTCAAAAAACTTTGATTCAGATTTTTCAACGGGTTGATTCGAAAACATGACTTGTTGCTGGTTCCGGACCAAGATTTTCAAAAAATTGCTAGAAAATGTCTTTAGGTAATTTTCTAAGGGTGTTCGAAAACGATCAAAAAATGTATTAATTAAAAAGTGAGATTTTTAAAAAATCGCCTAAAAATCCGGAAAAAATCTAGAAACACATTTTGAAGATGTGATGGTTCCAGGCCAAGGTTTTCGAAGAATGCGGTTTGAAAATGAAGTTTTTTTAGATGTCTCGAAAATTGCAATTTTTATTTGATGGATTCCGAAAAATTAATGGAATTTTCGAAGAAAGAAGCCGAAAACTTCAAGAAAATATTCGGCAATTTTCCAGAGGTGTCAAAAAACGAGCAAAAAATTCATGTCTGTCATTTTTCATTTTATCAATTATGGAAAAATTGTTGGACTTTTCAAATGTTGATTATTCCGTGTCAAGATTTTCGAAAAATTCCGTAAGGAAAAAAAATTCGGTGAGGTGATGAAAAATTGAGATTTTGGAAGGTTTATTTATTTTTTTATGTAAGAGCGATATCATAAAAAATAAAAATTTTGTTTTTTAAAAACCTGGATTTCTTTGACGGACGAAAAAACACAGTTTAATATATAATTCTACTTTCGCCTGAAGAAATTTGTACTAATAAACAAAACTTCCCGAAAGTAGTAATATTTTTTTATTGTGTGTCTAATGCAACGCAATTAGAATAAATTTCAAAATTTAAATATTCTTAAAAATTTGGTTTCCATATAATCATACAGATAATAAACAAACTTTTCTCAGAATTAAAATCATTCAACTAATTCTCGATCAGTTTCAAATTTCAATCAATTAATTGATTAATTTCGAATATAACATTTATTCAACATCGAACTGACAATTGATCCATTTGACTGAACCACCGCATTTCCCATGAGCAAGTAAATTTTAATCCAAAGATGATCATTCAAAATCATACATTTTATTTAAATGAATTTCTATGATCAAAATCAGTTTAATTGATGAAAATTGAGCAATCTAAAAAATTTAAATATCACCATTAATTAATTTTAGTACCCTATTTAGGATTGTATTATCATAAAATTAAACTAATTGCTCACGAATTGAAATCATTAAAGACGCACAAATAAATCAGTTTAAAATTTATAAGTAACTGATCATTGCACCCCTGGCTAAAAATAAACTAAATATAAGCTTGAAGTTTTCTCACAATTCACGCTCACTTTAAACGAGACCTAAAAAATTAAAATCAATTAAGCCCAAGTTTATTTTGTGAATAAAAAATGTGATCAAACTTTGGACACAGCAGCAGGCGTATTTTAGGTGATCTGAATTTTTTATCACAGTGTATATTTATTTATTTTACTGGTTTGTCAAAAGCAAAAGATGTGATCAAAGTTTCTTAATTTAAGTTAAAAATAATGTGGGAGCGAAGCGAGCTGTATCACATTTAGTCATAGCCTGTTACGAAAACGGTACCCTGAAACAATTTAACACCATTTTCAAAAATAAATTGCAAGGATTATGAAAAATGTAATTTCGTCGACAAATTAAGAGCTGAGTGCATATTATGAGCGCACGTTAATTGTCTATCAAGGTTTAAAATTAGCGTTATTTCGGCTTGCCTGCGCTAATTTGCTTGAGCATGAATTATGTTATATTAACTAGGTTTAATTAGCTAATAGCTAATGAACTCGGTAACTGCGAAATCAAATCTGCAACAGCCAAAAGCCACTTCAATTACCTGACCTCCGGTGAATATACAACGTAGCAAGTTGCATTCGCCCGGAATGATTAGATTTTGTTAAAATTATAGACGCTGCGCACAATAGACCCTCGAATAGCAAATTAGTAAAGTAAAAACTGTTAGTTTCGGGAGCTTATAGCACCGACCAGTGGCTCAAAGGAGTAATAATCACTTGGTCGGATGGACTCCCATTTTGCGCGAATTAAACTGAACGAGCAGCAGTAAAATTTTTTAAATGAATAGATCTAGATTTATGCGTGGATAATTTGTTAGGGGCTTAATTAAGACGTAGTGTTAGCCTTTTGGATGTTTCATTAAATGTAACGTTAACGTTCAACTAATTCGTGCCGTTTCATCTTTCGGCTGATTGGTGCCGACAGTTATGTATGGTAAAACGCATACAAAGTTCCAAGATTAATATAAACATTCATTGTAAATTGCTTCAACTTAATTAGAGTAAAGAGAAAATTAAGCATCGCCGTCCACGGCAATCTGAATAAAAGAGTTAGTGAAATTTAAGAGAATCCTGAAATATCAAAGAAGTTTAAATTAAAAGTGTTTACGCTTAGCGAAATGAATGAATGAGCACTTTTTCATAATAATTAATAATCACCTCGTTAATATTAATACTAATCAGTTTAAAGAGGCTTAATCCCGCTTAACGCTTATCGGGGTTAATTATAGGAAAAAGGGCTTAAACCGTGTTAGTCGGACCAACAATTACGCTAAACACGTAATTATTCGAAATTAATTATGCAATTATTCAGGGGTTTTTTCTTGAAGATAATCGTCCCGGCAGCTGGCACTTTCCGCGCCTCAGCACGGCCTATAACGGGGATATTCTCCAAAACTATATGTAAATCATATTTAACGCCGTTTAAACCAACCGTGTGCACATCGGCTTTAAAATTTGCGATGTGGTGTAAAAGTATGCTAATTTGTCGGCAGAACAGTACTTGCAAACGTCGTTAGAAAAACACGCACCTAACTTAATTAGCGCATAATTAATTAATTTAAAAATGAATTTTATTCCCAGAGGACTAGACCGCGCCTTAAATTAAGATAACAGGGTTAGTTAGTTGTGCGATTGGGGTCCCATTTAGTTATTACGTGTTTGAAAAAAAAAATGAGTTCCTGGATGATTCCGTCGAACTTCTAATTCAGCACATCATCAATAAAGTCGGACGTATTAAAAATCGGCTTTGAAAAAATTTTGACAAATTTGACGTTCTTGATTAATAAATGGTCCGATTGGTTGTGCCGGTCGCTTATATAACCCTTCAAACTGCTCCGCACACCTATAAATCAACTTTGAAAACTTCTTGTAATCCTTCATTTATCAAAATATTGCGCTCGGTACGTAAATGAGCACGTGTCATAAATTTCGACTATCTCAAAATAAAATTTTCAAACTTCGGCAATTTTAAATTGTGCGGAAAAACGCACACGATTCGCCGAAAAAGTTTCTTTTTTGTTAGTCGGCGGCAATTCATAAGCTTGTCATTACGACTTACCGATAACCTCGCCGATAACGGCTCTTGTGTAAACAAACACACGCGCCTGGCTGACGAAGGAACAGAACTGCCACCAATATTACCTTCTGGTGAGCATTTCATATAATTCCCGATGAATATTGGTCCAACGCAGAATCCGTGTGAGATTGGGATTCTGCGCCCTGTTCCTGGTGGATCGGTAGACGCCTTTGCTGCATCCTTTTCTGCGACGTCACGCAACCCGTTTAAACTGACACAGTTCCATGCAGTCGCTTCGTGGACAATTTGCAAATTCACCCCACGACTTGGAACACGAAAAAAAACTGAAAGAGGCGGTGTCGAAGCGGCGCCAAAACGGCCAGAAAAAACTTTGTTTGAAACACGCAACTTTGGTATCGTCAGTCGGAACATTCTCTCTCCCTCTGTCGCTGTCTTCGTCTAACTGCATCCCCACCCCGGGGCAGCAAAAATCTGTCTCCCTCGTGCGCGCTCGAATTCCAATTCTTTCGCTCCGTCTCTTTTTCTTCATCCCTTTTCGTTGCTCCCACTATTCCTATTCTCCCCACTCTCACTAAAGCCGCCTCTTTCGTTTTTAATTCAAAACTGATAATTTTTATTACTTTTATATGAATACATTTTGTCTAAAAGAAATTTAATAATTTTAGAAACTGGTCGAAAAATTGCTAACGAAAATTTGTGTTTTTGAAAAAGTTGCCCAAAAATCGATAAAAATTCCGGACGGAGGGAAGATTTTTAAAATATTCACTTTGAAAATCAAATTTTTTATATATCCTAAGATACCTTTCGGAAATGGGAATCTAGAAAAGAAATCCATTTAGTAATTCCAGAAGGTGGTCAAAAAATTGTCGAAAACTTTGAAAAATGTGACTTAGGAAAAAACTCTCTAAAATCTGCAAAAAAATTCAAGGCTATTTGGTGTGAAGTTCGAATTTTTTTAAATTTTTAAAAGTTGCGGTACTTCAATAGGCGATTCTGGAAAAACGGTACGAGTTATGGGATGAAACGAAACCCGAAATGACTTATCCCGCCCGAAATCTACAAAAAAATGTTTTTAGTTAAATTTCGAAAATGGTCAAAAATGGGTCGAATTTGCAAAAAGGGGGTCTATTGAAAAATTTCATTCTTGAGAAAAAATGTCTAAAAATTCTCAAAAAATCAAGAATGTAGATCTGGACATGCGGATTACAAAAATATAGGAGCAACTGTGTCGAAATACTCGGTGTGAAATTCGAACTTTTTGAAATTTCTAAAAATTCCGATATTTCTATCGACAATTCTGGAAAAACGGTAGGAGTTATCGAAGAAACGCCGCCAGAAATGAGTTCTGCGGCCCGAAATCCACAAGAAAATATATTTAGTTAAGTTTCAAAAATGGTCAAAAATGGGTCGAAATTTGCATAACGGAAAATTAGAAAATTTGATTTTTGAAAAAAATTGTCCATTTGGACATGTTGATTCCAAAAATAAAGCGTATTTATTGGTCACGGAGCAACTGTTTCGAAATACTGGGCGTGACAATCGATTTTTTTTAATTTTCCAAAAATTGCGATATTTCAGTGGGCAATTCTGAAAAAATGATTGGAGTTATCGAAGAAACGAGGCTGAAAGCGACTTCTGCAGCCCAAAGTCTACAAGAAAATATATTTAGTCGTCGAAAATTTGCATACCTTCATTTTTTAAAAAGTTGTTTAAAAATTCACAAAAAAATCAGGAATACAGATCTCGATGTGCTCATTCCAAAAATATAGTGCTTTTATGGTCACGGAGTAACTGTTTGGAAATATCCGGTGTGAAATTCAATTTTTTAATTTCTTAAAGTTGCGATATTTCAACGGGCGATTCTGGAAAAACGGCAGGTTTAAAGAAACAAGGCTGGAAGTGACTTCTGCGGCCAGAAATCTGCAAGAAAATGTATTTATTTAAGTTTCGAAAATGGTCAAAACTGGGTCTAAATTTGCATAATAGGTATATATTGGAAAATTTTATTTTTGAAAAAAATTATCCCAATATTTTCAAACAATTGAGGGATAGATCTCGACGTGCTGATTCCAAAAATATATCGTGTTTATTGTTACGGAGCAGTATTTTCTAAATATTCGGGGTGAAATTGGAATGTTTTGAAATTTTTGAAAAAATTGTCAAAAAATTCTCAAAAAATTCAGGGATACAGATCTCAACGTGCTAATTCCAAAAATATAGCGCATCTAGAGTCACGGAACAATATTTTCGAAATATTCGGTGTGAAATTCGAATTTTTTGAAATTTCTAAAAATTGGAATATTGAAAATTTCATTTTTGAAAAAAATTGTCTCAAAAATCTCAAAAGATTCAGGGATAGAGATCTCAACATACTGATCCTAAAAATATAAAAATATAGCGCATCTAGAGTCACCGAACAATATTTTCGAAATGTTCCGTGTGAAATTCGATTTTTTTGAAATTTCTAAAAATTGCGATATTCCAATGCGCGATTCTGGAAAAACGGTCAGAGTTATCAAAGAAACGAGACCGAAATTAACTTTCCACTCAAGAAAATGGTCCAAAATGGTTCGGAAATTTTCATATAGGTATGTACTGGAAAATTTTATTTTTGAAAAAAATCAGGAATGCAGATCTCAACGTGCTGATTCCAAAAATATAGCGCATCTAGAGTCCGGGAACAATATTTTCTAAATATTCGGTGTGAAATTAGGATTTTTTGAAATTTGTAAAAATTACGTTATTTCAGTGGACGATTCTGGAAAAACGGTAGGAGTATTTAAAGAAGCAAGGCCGGAAGTGACTTTCCTGGCCCAAAATCTACAAGAAAATGTTTTTAGTTAAATTTTCCACTTCTGACTTCATTTCTTCAATAACTTAAACTGTTTTTCCAGAATCGTCCATTGCAATATCGCAATTTTCAAAAATTTCGAAAAATCCGAATTTCACACCAAATTTTCCAAAAATATTGCTCCGTTACCATCAACACGCTATATTTTTGGAATCAACATGGCGAGATCTGAATTTTTTCACAATTTTTAGACAACTTTATTAAAAGGGAAATTTTTTTCCCTTCTAATTTCCTCCAATTTTTGACATTTTCGAAACTTAACTAAATACATTTTCTTGTAGATTTCGAGCTCTAGAACTTCTTCCGACATTGTTTTTTTGATAACTGCAACCGTTTCTCCGAAATCGACCGTTGAAATATTAAAATTTTTAGAAATTTCCAAAAATTCGCATTTCGTAACGATTCTTTCCAAAATTTGGCTCCGTGACCACCAATACGCCATGTTTTTGGAATCAGCATGTCGAGATCTCAGTCCCTGAGTTTTTTCACAATTTTTAGATAACTTTTTTAAAAGGGAAAAATTTTCCCCCTTCTTCAAATTTCGGTCAATTTTTGACATTTTCGAAACTTTACTAAATACATTTTCTTGTAGATTTCGAGCTCTAGAACTCACTTCCGACATCGTTTCTTTGATAACTGCAACCGTTTTTCCGAAATCGACCGTTGAAATATCAAAATTTTTAGAAGTTTTCAAAAATTCGCATTTCGTACCAATTCTTTCGAAAATGTTGCTCCGTGACCATAAACTCGCTATATTTTTGGAATCATCACCTCAGGATATATATCCCTTATCCAAATTTCGACCCATTTTTGACGATTTTCGAAATTTAGTTAAAGAATTTTTCTGGAAGATTTCGGGCCGCAGAAGTCACTTCCGACCTCATTTCTTCGATAACTTCAATAATTTTTCCAGAATTAGTTCAGTGCATTGAAATATCGCATTTTTTTTTAATTTCAAAAAATTCAATACAACACGTGCAGAAAAAAGATCTTGTGTCATTTTTGCAAGTAAGTGCATGTTTTCAAATTCAGTTCGGATTGCAGAGTTTTTGTTCAGATTACTGAATGTTCGGATAATCGGGGGTTCGGATTATAGAGGTTATACCGTATTGAAAATTTACATTTTTGAAAAAAATTGTCAAAAAATTCAGAAATATAGATCTCGACGTGCTGATTCCAAAATTATAGCGCGTTTATGCTCACGGAGCAACAGTTTCGAAATATTCAGTGTCAAATTAGAATTTTTTTAAATTTTAAAAAATTGCGATATTTCAGTTGGCGTTTCTACAAAAACGGTGGGAGTTATCGGAGAAACGAAACTGGAAGTGACTTCTGCGTCCTGAAATCTACAAGAAAGTATATTTAGTTAAATTTCGAAAATGGTCAAAAATGAGTCGAAATTTGCATAGGGGAAAACTGTAAAATTACATTTTTGAAAAAAATTGTCTAAAAAAATCTCAAAAAATTCAGGAATATAGAACTTGAAGTACTGGTTCGAAAAATGTAGCATGTCTAAGATCATGGAGTAAATATTTTCGAATTATTCAGTGTAGAATTCGATTTTTTTTTAAATTTCTAAAAATTGCGATATTTCAATGGGCGATTCGGGAAAAACAGTAGGAATTATCGAAAAAACGAAGCCGGAAGTAACTTCTGCAACCCGCAAACTAAAAAGAAATGCATTTAGTTAAGTTTCAAAAATGATCAAAATGGGTCGAAATTTCCATTGGAAAATTTCTTTTTTGAAAAAAAATGTCTAAAAATTCTCAAAATAATCAGGGATACAGATCTCTACGTGCAGACTCCAAAATTATATTGTGTTTATGATGACGAAACAACATTTTGAAAATATTTGGTGTGAAATTCAAATTTTTTGAAATCTCTAAAAATTGCGATATTTCATTGGGCGATTTTGGAAACACGAAGAAACGAGGCTGGAAGTGACTTCTGCGGTCAAAAATGAGTCGAAATCTGTAGTGCAAATCTCGAAAATTTCATTTTTGATAATTTTATCTAAAAATTCTCAAAAAATTTGGACAAATTTAATATTTTACAAAAAATAATAGATGCACATAGAGGGACGTTTTCTCCACCATTTGAAATTTTACTAACATTTACTGCCACAATTTTTAATAAACTCCTATACAATAGACACAATCAACAAAACCCACTGATGGAAATATCAGGAGCTGTACTTCAGACCGAACTGAACTAACGAGGTAAAATATTGATCTCTCGCTAAAAACTAATTAAACCAAACCCAAATTCTGGATTTTAACGATCTGCTGGCTTCCACCATCGTGCTTTTAGCACCAATTACTGCCAGATTTTTATTTATCTAGTGTACCAATTTAAAACAAACATTTCTTTATCATTTTTACCGTAAATATATTGCACACTAGCATCGAACGAATTTTTTGTACAATAATCGAGATGCGGCGATAAGAACGCTCGCGAAATTAGTTATCAGAATACACAATGGTGGCCGAAAAGGGTCCGATCATAAATTATCCCCAAATTTCTTTCATCTGCTTCATCAAAAATCGTCAACTGTACAAAATATTTTAAATAATTAAACAGGCTGCCAATTTGTTAACATCACACTTCCACCATCCCTCGAGGTAATCAATACAACTCATTAAATGAATTTAATAATTTTTTTGACGCCGTAATCAATTACCCAATAAATTTTACTTCTATGCTCTGTTCTAACAAAATTTCGAAGAAGTCGGAAACATGATTTCTGAGATAATGAACGTCATTTGTGCAGCAGCTCCCGCGATAAGTTGGAAATAGGGCGGCTTATTGAGATGACGTCATCAGTTTTATTAATGAGAGGAATAGACAAATTTTCCACGTTTTTAACGTGCGTGTGAAAAATTCGGCGATGTTTTTTTTACAGTTTTGCGCCGAATTCATATCACGCAGAAGAAAAAACGATCGCGACGAACAGTGTTCGCACGACAGAGAATAAAAATCCCACGGGCCGAAACGGCTCGGTGGACTTAAAACGATGAACGGTTTCTGAGAAAATCTACATCCAAAACACCGCTCTCCGTGCCAACGAGGTACATCAACAAAAAGATTAAATTAGCATTTACTATCATTAGTAATTTTAGAGGTTATACAAACATGAATTTTAATGCAATTCTTACTAAATCGAAACTCAAAGTCCAGTGAACAAGAATTTCACGTTTGCTGCAAAAAATGTGATAAATATTTAGGTTAGTGTGAATATGATAAATTCGTTATAATTATGTATATTGACCAAACATTGCTGATAACAGTGGAATATTATGTTTATATTTAGGTCAAAGTTTTAACTATGAAAGAAAATTCGTTATCTACGAGTCGAGACAAATTATAAACTTATTTAGGAGCATAGAGCTTTTTATTGAATACCACACAACTGGCGCCAGGGGCGCTATTGTTCTGACTTTTCGCTATAATTTAACAAGTTGCGTTTAAACAACCAGCAGTACACAGTTTATCGTACGTGGATCACAACTAGAATGTTTCTCGAGCGCGTCTACATTGTGATGGGCTATTTTTCGTTCGCTTTACCTTTTGAGCATATCGCTTTCTGATGTTTTACGCTTGGTGGAAAAAGTGCGTTAATAAACACCCCAAATGTAAATAGACTCATCCATTATTGAAACCGGGTGCATCTCGGCTGGATTGAGACGTTACTTTAAATTTATTATTAGCAATTGTGATGAGACCGACCTGATCCTTTAGAAAAGCCTCATTGAAATTCCGCGATATTTCAAATTAATCCGCTCCCAACTGTTGAAACTTCGACTACTTAATACTTTCCTAATTCCTCTCATCTCAATACGACCAGTTTATAGACAGTTGATGATCTACCATAAAACAAACCACTTTAACATTCAGAACAGGGAAACCACAAATATTTAATACTGTGACGTTACCTTCCCGCCGCACGCCAGATGGTGCTAATACTCACACTTTAAATGACATTCACGCGCTTTTCTGCGTGGGGATTTACGGGAACTCCCTAATAACTTAAGTCGCATATTCCTCCAGGAAAACTTTATATCCGACGCTACCCACAAACTACATTTTATTACATTCATTATGTTTACGACCCCACAACTTACCTACCTGCTCCATTCTACACTTGATGTCGTGCCCGATTTATCTCTTACATTTCCGCAAATACAGAAAACCACCTTCGCGTGCTTTAAATTTATCATGGGGGCAATCACAGCGACGCCCTCTACACTAATTTCCACAAATTAACGACAGCGCCATCTTCAACGATACAATACACATCATAAGCAAAGACGCTACAACCTGAAACACCCGACGCTACATACAAAAGGTATAAATCTTACGTCTACCCTTACTATTTAGTTCTCATTAACTACACATGCGAGTCTCAATTACTTTATGAAATACTGGCTCGAAAGGGTCATAGTTCGATTCTTCAAAATTATAGACACAAGTAGCAGAAAATATTTTATTGACATGAAGTAGAAACGCATCGGCGATGCCTTTATAAAAATATATTATATCTGTTAATAAATAAAAATTTCCTATAATTGCACATGTGCTAAGATATAAGAGACGGTTGTATTTCTTCGGTAACGACAGGATGTACGTCCGATGAGTTAATACTGTTGTAGTTCGGAACGTTTTCATACCCTAAATGATCTGGAAAGAACTAAAGTAGCGTTTGCAGCTACGTAAAACCTTCAATACTAACCTACTCTCACTTTTTTTAATAACGATATCACAGCCAAAGCGCCAAGAATTGCGGAACCTCCGCAAACGTAAGTTAAAGTATCCCTGTAATAACTTTTATTCGTCGGATCTTTATGTCTGGAATAAAAAATTCACAAGTCGGAATCTAGTTATTTTACGACTATCGGTTGGCCATGCGGATAAAGCCCGCCTCACACTAGAATCGATACTCACAAATCTTGGATGATGACGACGGCGACGCCGTTGGCAAGTTTATCCGTAAAACTCATTATACCATACACAAACGCCCCGCTGTCCGTCTTATCGCCTATCAGGTCGGCGGTTATCCCCAAACTCGTGACAAGAGTGATGGAACCGCAGGCACCTACGAATGTATTTTTTACGGATTGATCGGGACTCTACGGGGACTTTACCAATCAAAACTGCGATTATGTGGATTTGGTACGCTTTCAATGGGTCCCCAGATCCCAATTTGATCCAAATGCAGGCGGAGATTCCCATTAAAACTCCAAGAATATACGACAGCTTTAATGATATGGAAATTAGATTATGGCCGAGTGACATTTTGAGTAACTAACCCTGCGCCCGAAACCCCGGTTCAATTTTTCTATTGTCATCGATGTTACGAAACTTCCTATGAACATTATGAGGGGGATAAGAGCCAGAGCGCTCGCCGTCATGTCCAAGGTTTCGTGGAGGTAGAGGGGGATGAAAACTTGCGTTAGATTTACGAACAGACGGGTGGACATGTACACGACCGCTACCTAAAGGCACATTTTATGTTCAAGGCCAAGCGCATTTTTTAAATTGGAATCCCTTGCATAAATATGGGCAAATCCCTCTAAACCGCTTATAAATGAGCTTCGCATCATCCTCAACATGCTTATGTCAAAAAGAGTGAAGCCATTTTTTACATGTGGATCTACTATTACTCCTGCCTCATCATAAATTGTTACTTTCGTTGAGCTGACTTTCAAACTGACTTAACCAACCTTATCTAGTGGAATTTTAAACAGGATTAATTTGGCAAAATTTTGAGATTGCGTCATCAAAACAAAAATTTCAGTTAGTGTTTATCCATCTACATAATATTCTTAAAATATCGAACAATAACAATCAGTCTAGTAGTTCGTTATTATCTGTCCAATAAAATCGAAAATAGAAATTTGTACTAATTAAACCAAGAGATCACGCGCATCTGAGTGTACAATATTAATCAGATCTAAAAAATGCGATAAAACCGTTATATCTTACATAATAGCAAATTGAATACTATGGAAAAAACAAATACGTTAAGAGACGTTTTCAAGGTCGGTAGTATCGTATGTATAAAATTCGAACTCTATTTTTTCCTTGAAAATTATCGCAAAAATGGCTCTATAAGACAAAACCCTTTCGGGCTATTATCGTTTTTTAAAATTCCAACATTTTCAAAAAATCGTTTTCGTGGAATTTTGAGATTTAAGGATTTTCCAGTTTTGAAAAAAACATTTTTTTCGATATTCAAGATTTATCTCAAAAGCGATTTCCAGGTTCAAAATAATTAAAAAAACACAAGAACAAAAAACAAATTTTTCTTCTAAATTAACTCCGTAAACGATATAACTGTTGACAGCCATAGAATCAATTTGGTTAGTGCCAAAATAACATTATTTTCTAACGTTAACACGATCAATAATCAACAAACTGCCAGTAATTTGTCTTTTTATATATTTTTTCTAATAAAAATTAGTCAAATTTTGGAATAGCGGCTGCAGTTTCAACTAAATTTATAAGGGGTCACATTTAAATCTTCAAAATTAAAAATCAAAATTTTTATAATCATGGACGCGAAAAATACTGCAGCATCAATAAAAAAAAATTCAGAAAAAAGAACTGAAACCATTGATTATTCAAAAAATTGTAAATATATAGTAATTCTTTTATATTTCTGCAAATAAAAAAAAATTCATAATGTATATTTATTAACATTTTTTTACTCTATTGATATTCCGTCTCTTTCTAACGGAACGAGATGTCCGATACAAGTTTTTTTTTTATAAAATCTTACCTGATAGACTTCCAAAGACATTAACAAATCCTTTATGGGTGTTCTTAACTGAGTGCCCCTGACATCATTTGTCGTCCCAAAAGCCCCCTCCTCTTTTACAAAAACATGAAAAATTACGGAAGCAACAATCCCAATAGCTAGACCCGTCCACACGACATGTTGAAACTTGTCTGCATCCCCTGGCCCTACTTTGGACTCAGCTCCGCTGTTTATGTGCAATATAGCCCAAGTTATAACATAGACTAGTAAATTAGAAACTACAGTAAAAGAATATCTGTAAGAAAAACAACAACAATAAAACAAAACTAAAAAATCTTGTAAACCTACCTTATGGCGGTTAACTTCGTTCTATCATGTTCATTTGGAGTCAACTCTGGTATTAAAGACAGATGCGAAATTTGAACTGAAGCCCATCCAAATTGAAATATAGTTATAAAAACACAGTAGTAAAAAATTTGTGCCCACTTATGGCTATCAGTACAATTTATGCAAGGCGCAAATATGAATGGAAACGTTGTTAGAACACATACAGTGCCTATTAAATGCCACGTTTTTCTCCTGCCATACCGACACAGCCAGAAATTATCTGTTTGATCCGAGTGGAATCCGACGAAAGGGGTGGACACGGCATCTGCTACCTAACACCAAATAAGCTTCAAAAATGACACAAAAAAATCATTACCTGTCCAACCAGCAACATAAACCCTGCCTCCCAGTTACTGAACTGTAAAACTAAATGAAAAAATACTAATAAGTACGTAAACCACATCGACGCGCACACATCGTTTAAGACATGCCCTACGCCGTAAGCCAACTGGAGTTTAAGGGGCAGCCTTCGATAAACTTCCGTGTACTCGTTACTGAGGAGGTGTTGACTGCTCACTTCCATTGTTGCAGTCGCTGAAATCAGAACTGATGTGTAAACAACAAAAATGCGGTTATCACTTATGCAAAAGTCACCAATAATTAGAACGACTCACAATCACAAGCACTTGGTTGGAATTCCAGGAAAACATGCGTAATTTCATTGTGATTGTAAGTGGCAATGACGCATCTCTACTTACTGATTTTTAGTAATCTGACACTTTTCACACACCCCTAACCGTTGCCAGACATTATCGAAACATTATATTTACTTAAACTAAAAAATAATAATATTTACAAGTGATGCATTCGCAGATGGGCAAAAGTCATCGTTGTTGACGTTTCCGTCAGTGCTGACGTTGCCAACCTGCGCGATAAAATCACTACGTACTTGAGATACTCTAATTTGTTACAAGTACACGACTGATTAAATTAAGGGTGCCGGTGGAGATTAAAATCAGCTGCTCTACGATAATAAAAAACATTTATTCTAGCATACAATTATTATTAGGCAGTTGATAAATATTGATACAAATCTTTCGTTACAAAAACAGAGTTTAACCCTTAATGGGGCCATTACTGCATGATACAGCCCAGAAACGTAATCTACGATATATCCACATATGGTACATTGAAATTATTTAGAGCCTAAGAAACATATCTTCACAATTCATGGGTCTTAGTAAATGCAAAATAAAGTAAATGGTGAATGATATATACAACACCAAGACCCACAAGCCGTTAAGCGAATGAAAGCTTAAAAACTATGTTCGATCCGGCTAAAGTGTCTGCCGAACCGATCTGTTGTTCAATTCCTATTGTATACAAACATTTTTCTTGAATTGCACAATACTTCATATTGCATAGATATACATACAATTAAAATATCAATCGAATATCAAATAAAATACTTTATAAATTACAACGTAAAATATCACTTGAATGAGATTAGCTAAACAAAATAAAAAATCGAGTGCAGGGTGGCATAGGCCATCAACATCCAGACTAGAAATTAGCTTGGCACACCCCAATTTGTCATGCAGCGCATCACACGAATTTCAGACTCAGTTTCACACACATTCTGGACAATATTTATATTGTACTAATCCAATTATAGTCAATTAGTAAAGCTGTTTGAAACTCCTCAATACCCAAGTTACTGTATAATACAAGTTCAATACTATCATAAAAATAATACAATGATAATAGGAACATTAATATTATCTGAGTAATGGACACAGTAGCCATTGCCACAATCTCGTTGATATTAGGAGGGCAACAAATTTTTGAACGGATGTAACACTTACTACCCTAGAAAAGACATTAATAACTGAACGTGGGGAATTACATTAAACACAGATCGATAAATAAAGGCTTACACACAAGCACTTGCTCAATTCCTCACATACTAATTTTATAAAATTTTCCATACAGCTACTTTTTCAATGAAACGTCACTACGATAATTGTAAAAATACAAATCACCACTGGTGTCACAAAAATTATTAATAAGGTATCACACAGTAATTATTAACATCTTTGGATCAAAAAGTTTAGTCATTTTAAATTCTAAATGTACTAGTAGTAACATCTTAAAATAATTTTTTGACACATCTCTACTGCAAATACATTAATTACAAAATCAAGGCCTCTCCAAATATAACAACAAATGATGGAATGCCAGAAAATTAGATTACTACAGCAAATTGTGCGTTTTTGGCATGTTATTATATTACTAAACCATTACAAAAGCCTCTTTGCCACAAAACAGGAATGGGTATTGATTTATCATCGTTTGTACAATATCTTCCAAATATGGCCTCATCTGCTCGAACCGCCCCATATCGCTAAACTCTATGGGCAACAACGTCGGCCACCAGCATATTGCCAAGTTCTTACTATCCATATTGTTCAATTTTGAATTCTCGGCCACCCTAAAACAACACACACCCTTGACACCAATCCAATCCACCCCAAAAACTTACTTCACAAAATGTTGAAACACAAACTTTAACACTTGGAAATTAACCTTGGGTAACTTTTCCAGCATACTGCGCAACGCAAGCAAACGACAACTTCTGTCAGTTTTAACCTCAACATTCCCCGTGGTTGTCGCCATCGGCTTCATTCTTGTTCCTGGAACTTGAAAACATCGAAAGTCGCAAACTACCACCAAACCGTGTGACACTACCTGCAATATCCTCCAACTCCGACATGACGTCCTCTTCAAATAATGGCGGCAATCTTTTTGATACGAAGTCTTTTAAAGCGGTAGCGACAGCGTTCACGGGGATGTCGAGCTCATGAATATCAACGTTTGGATCTAAAATGACTTACTAAGTAAAAACAAAATTGAAAATATATAAGTGTACCTTCGTCGAACTTCTGGAAAAGCAAATCTACATGTGCTCGATTTCCCGGCACTCTGTATATACCCTCAGATTCTAACCCCTCGCTCTCGATAAATTTGACACACTTCTCCAAGAAAATCGGTATAAAATTACTTTCGTTCTAAAATATTAAAATTTGATTAATAAAAAACGTAGCGGTGTTGGCTTCAGCAAACAAAGCATTCAGATTTGTCATTTGTCGTTTCACGAAATGTCAAATCTGTCACTTGTCACTAATAATAAGGTAAGATCCAGCTTTCGCACGCTGACCCCTTACTTGAATAAAATCTGATAATTTTGAAGGCGCCGAACCCAAAGATACGGCTTTCTGTTTGATCTTTTGCTGTTTTTTCTTATCTCTTTCTTTCTCCTTGTCTGCGACCTTTCGCAACTTTTCTTCTTTCAGCCGCCGTTGCTTCTCAATCTTGGAATCATCTTTAGCCTTTTGTTTCTCCCTTTTTCTGAGAAGCTTCTCTCGGTCGGATTCCTTCATTTTTGGCAACACCCCGAACTGGAGAAACGTGTTAATCGAGCGATTCCAAGACATAAGAAGCTTGAAATACTCACCATTGGCGAATTATTGTCTCTAGGCGATGAGACATCCAAACTAGATTCATCATCGTGTATAATACCGTAAGAATTGGGTTTTATAGAAAATAAATCTGGCGAATGTAATTGTATGTTTAAATTGTGAGTGTTATGCATATCTGATACTGGAACGCGTTTCTTCAAGCTGAAAGATCGCTTTTGGGAGAATCTATTGCGGCTGTCTGTAGTTCCCGTTCGTGCTTGCTCGGCATCGCTCCCTTCCGACGAGTCGGAATTTGATTCGCTTCCAACTGGAACACGTACCGTAAACCCGAGGCGCAGCCGAGTACGTGCATATACTCACCGTTGGCCTTGTCGGCGTCTAGTTCTACGTGTGGTGTTGAATGTACCGAAGGTAGGGTAAAGCCACCAAGCTGCGGCACTCTCGGGGGCTGTACTGGAATCGCAGTGCGCTTTTTGCGCTGTCTTTTGTGTGTTCCAGATTTTCGGTTAACTTTGGAGTAGACCTCGCTCGCCCGCTGCCTCCGCTCTAGACTACTCCACTCACTATCTGTATCAGAATACGCTAAAAAATTTATTACCAAAAAGCACTACACTCATTCTCACATGACTTACATGGTTGGCCTTTCTCCCGGCGCTGCCTCAGCTTTGATTTTCCACTAACTGCATCCTGTACTAGTGTGTACATGTATTCAGCATCTGGAGGGTACATGTTGTGAACCATATCTTTGACCTGCGCATATTCACATCCTAAATCAACTACCTCTGGTGTGGCTAAAGGAGCATTTCCAAAATTAGTATTGCGTATATCTTTGCCACTTACGTTCATCCTTGCTATAGCTTCCGTCACAACTGAATAATTTTTCAAGTTGAGTTTGCCCGGTTGCTGCAACACAAAGTCGGCGAGGTTAGCCCCTCACAATGCAGTCGCTTTGTGGTAAAACTGTCAACCTGACTAAATCAACCGAAATTATACTCCGTTTACCGAACAGATGGAGTTGGATATTCCCTCTTTTTGTTTAAACATATCGACAGTTTGACAAGTTTACAACTTTAGTATTTATATAATCAACTTACTTTCAACGTTTGCGAGATGCCTTTAGGCCTCGATTCCGACACAGTGACGTGTCGTCTTCCCGTAGTAAAAGCATGCTGCCCATAACTGTTCCAAGCGCTACCGGAAATCGAAACTGGCTGATCCCCCTCACCATCTATAAAACAAAAAAGTGGAAATTAACACCCAAAAAACTCACAGTGAGGGTCACACATTAGTTAGTAAATCACCTGAATCATGAGTTGCTAGTGACTCTCTTGATCCGCTAATGTCGGCTGCATGAAGTGATTACAAATTTCTCAATTGTTTTAGAAAATTATAGCAATACTTACATGTAATCTCGTCTAGGCTTGTCTGCGACGCCGACAACATTGGACCCCTCTTGGGAATGCGAGAAATTAAAGGGTGATCAGGGGGTGCTGGTTCCGGGGGCGTTGTTGGTGGGGGATACACCTGGAAGCCTAAAACCCAAAAAGTCAATTCCAGTCACCCAAAACCAGATTGGTATAACCTTGATGTAACAAGCGTTTTTTCGACGTTATATCACCGTTTTCGTTTCCGTACATGTAAATGTGAGAATACTTATCACTATGATCACTGGAACTCAGCCTTTCGTCGGGGCCGTTCAATTCATAATTTTCACTCCCGCTGCTATAAAAAAGCATTAAATAGTGAAAAAATACAGTCTGTCTAGCCCCAAAAAACTACTTAGCCCATCACAAACACAGCCAAAATACCCATACGTACCCATCGTTCAGTTTCAGCTGATAACTTTCGTGTCTAGGTGGCGGCAATGGATGCCCATGGCGCTGAGATCGAGGGTGTTCGAGGGTACCCTCGCCGCTATCATCTAAACCCGAAGGTTCCTCCATATGGAATGCTTGTTCAATTTCCGGCTTCTTCTCCCACACTTCTTTGAAAAATGGCGTAAAAAAGGCAGCTACAAATAAAAACGTGAAGAAAAATACACACACCTGTATATCGTGCAATGCATACTTTTCTGTTGACTCGATGATGAAGTCGTCATAAAATGCGCATGTAATCTATCCGCGGTTGCATTCCCTTCAGTAATCAATAGATGACTTAAGTCATTATTAAAGAATGCGTTTGCTCCGCCCGAATCAGTAACTGCCAAAATTTGGATTGGTAGATTCGGAATATTCATGGAAAATGCGCTACAAGACAACGATTAAACACAGAATTGTATAAGTAGATCGTTACTTTAATGTGGCTAACGACGCTTTTCTCTTCGTGGAATAGACTAAAATGAAACCGTGAACGAGTTCATCGCGGAATGCATTCGCCCCATGGAATGATGAAACTATTACTTCGACTTTTCGTTTCGAGTCGCCCAGAAATGTTTCTAAGATAATACTTCTTTCGGCCGATAAAAAGCAACATTGGTGTGATAAGAGCGGCGCTAGAACGTTTTCTATTGAGTATGAATCACCGCAGAACGTACACATAATAATTCTAGAAAAAAACACAATGATTGAAAGACATTTGAAAAAGGTCGTGTTTAACCTAATATCAGGTTCCACACACTCAATTACGGATTGATAAATATTTAAAAAACCTGCCCTATGGTGGATGCTCTGAACGAGTTGGTGTAATGCATCAGAAACTAACTGTTCTTCAGATATTTGGTCGAGACAAACATCCATGAAAGGACACTGTAAACTAAGAAAAAACGTCAAAATTATTACACATTATATAAAAAAATTTAATTTTCAAATTTCTATTTTTACGCATTTCAATTAAAATTCTCATAGTTGAATGATACTTAAAAAAAGTGGGTATCATTTCCGGTGAAACTGAAATTTTCAAGTTCAAATAAACAATGGATTATTTTGAAATTTAAATTCGATAGGTCGTACACGATCAACAATTTGGTACTGAAATTACTAAAGCACACTTACCTATCAGCTAAGCTTTGGCCTTCTTCTCTTAATTTTATCACATCTTTTTCTTCAATATACGAGTCTTGTAAAAACATTAAAACGATAGGTAAGCCTTGGAATGGAAGTTTGTCTTCCTGTTCTAAATTAGATAACAATGTCTTTTCTAAACTTTCTCGAATATATTCGAACGATTCTGCATTAGAATATACACAAAAACTTCCGTGTGGTACAAAATCCGCGGTTCTAAACGAATTATGAGGCAAACTAACATCTCCATTTATAATTCTATAATCCAAACTGTAAAACTGACAGTCTATTTCGTATTCATCGTCCTCACATTGAGCCTAAAAGAGAATTTGTAACCACCGAAAAAAAGTTTTCGTAACGTACTCTAATTTTAGCTGCCAAATTCTCAGCCAAGTTGTCTGCTCCAAGAATGAGTAGATGAAGCTGATTATTGTCTGAACTTATTAACCACTGGTTGCTGTGGTTCCAAGAAGAAGGTCTACAAAAAGAAACGAATAAAAATGTTCGAATGTGTACCCCAAGGAAGTACCTATGTGCCTTTGTTGCTAATATTCTTTCTATAAGGGCATCCATACAATTTGGAAAAGCGGGACAGTGCTCTCTAATTGGACAATGAATAAAACCTAAGTGCTGAAATAGCATAACTTTTCTATCTTGATCCAAACGATCCAACATCTTATATCTAAAGTGGGAATTTTTTAGTCACTCAATTACTCAATTTGTCAAACTTACCTAAAGTCGTCTTGTAAAACATCAATAATCTCTTTAATATCATCTTGAGTTATTGTTCCTGTTGGTGCAATACTTTTAAAATGATAGAACAAATCGGCGTGTTCCAGAAGAAGTTCCTGAAGTAAGTACCGATTGAAATCAAACGTGTCGTGATTGGTTGTTTGTAAATCTTACCTGAAAATTGTGTTTGGCGTTTTCTATGAGCTCCCTTTGGTGTGCATCATAGATCTGTTGACAGTCGTGCTCAGAAAGAGCCTCAAAACATTCTCTCCCCATGAACAAGACCCTAACCTCTGACAAATGTTTACCGGGAGTAACATAACCTGTATCTTCTAAGAGTTGCTTAAACTGCTTCTTCCACCTATAAATAAACAGCAAACTAACACATAGTAAAGTGTGAAGATAAATAAACACCTCACCTCTTTGGCATCCTTTATTAATGAGTGAGCAAAAAAAGAAATATAGCTATTAGTAATGTTGTTAAGCCTTAAATAAACAAAAACAAACAACAAAAGTTTACACAATAAAGCTTAGAACAAGAAACCAAGCCCCCAAAACCAAAATACAATAAATCATACTCTAAACGTTTTTGCTCCTGTTGCAGGACATTTATGTGGTTTTTGAAGACAGTTTCGGCATCGCTTATTTCTAAAACGTCAAACGGAATCCGAGTTTCTTCATTATCAGACTCTAGTTCGCACTCAGTCCATGGCATATCTTCTGGGCATTCATAAAAATATTGGCTAAAGTCTGGGTGCGTTTTCAGGTACTGCTGGATAGATGGCCAATCACTTAAAACGAGCTATTAATAAACCTTGAACGGCATTCAGGCAACAGTTACCTATCGGTTAAAGTATTGATATCAGGGACTAGTTCATGCAAGACGTCAGGCAACATTTCCATGTAGTGTGCAATCCGCTTGGCGAGTTGCTCGTCCTTCAGCTTTTTAATGTGCCTCCTGAATAGCCTCTGCGTTCCATCCAACCCGAATAACTGAACGAAATAAATCCACTCTTTATGCGAATTCAACTTTTTGACGGTGTGCGACCACAGCGCCCGACAATCCGTCACATGTAGCCTGATCAACCTCATGAAGGCCTCGCTGGCCACGTCCATCAACTCCTTCCTTGCTCTGGCAGCCTCGGTGTATGATATAACTTTCGCTCTAACTTTACTTCTATCGATAATTTGTGCCAGTAACATAAATGCTAAGTCGACGTTGACGTTATCGTGCGCTGACGTTTCCACCAACGGTATAGCACCTTTGTATTCTTTTCTCTGCAATAACTTATCGGCCTCCCGTACGAACAACTCGTTAGCGTCATCGTTCTTAGTAGTGACAAATACAATCGGTTTTTTTGTTTTAACTAAATTATTTAATATCGCTGCTACTATTTCTACTTGTTTTTCTAAAGATCTGCTTGGCACAATACTGACATCGAAAACACAGATAAAACCGTCTATGTTTAGTTTTCCATCAGGCAAGACTTTTTGTTCGTATTCTTTCTCTATACCTAGCTGGTTTTTACAGATGTACATGAGTTTCTCGGCGGAGGTGATCTTAGTTGCCGCGCATCGCTTTATATACGGCTCCATCTTACCACCTGCAAAATTTATCAACGTCAAATTACCCACTCTTCCATTTTTCACACTGTTTACCTTTGAAAGGTTGGAAAGATGCATCGTCTATAAATTCCGTTTGTTCTATTACGCTAAACTGGTAATCGATGCCTTCTTCTGATGTTTTGATCACCTCTCCCCAATATAAAAAATGATCATTATTGACAACTCGGCCGCTGAAGTCCGTCTAATGAATGCAAAAAAGTCTTAGTTTTCGTCACAGCGATTAGTAACAAGACAAGTTTGAAATGTTCATACAAAACGTCAAAAATAACTAGGTAATTATTTGTTGCAGCGTCCCCTATTCAAAATCAACACCTAGTGACAAAAAATGTTTGTACAGGTTATGGTGGCATTGGATTACGTCAAATTGCGGGCAGTTATACCACCCAAACTTTGACCAGCAACGCCAACTCTAATTCACTTTATTTTCGATGAATGAATATGGGTATTCAACCCTGAAGCTTACTGCGCCAGTTTTACACTATACAATACTTATTCGCTTTAATACTGGCAAAACATTGAATGAAAATCAGGGAAGGATTCGTACTACAGATACATATATTACCTACACAATCTTAAGAGAACGAGTTATTTTATTAGTGTGAATCAGGTTTTGAGCGAACCCAATTGACCATTAAAAAACTGATCATGCAGTACTTATAATTCAAAGATTATTTTGAGGTTAAGGTTTTTTTTCGTACAAAGATAAATGGACAAAACCTGTTCATTTGTGGCTCTTTTTCGACTTTTTTGTTTACTTTAGCAGCTTACGTAAACACTGTATAACTTTTGTGATGTTTATTTTAACACTTGGTGTAAAAAGTTTCTTATTAGCGGTAATAAAATGAATAAATAAATTTAATACAACGTGTTTTATGGCCCATGACAACATACACGATTTCGTAGAGAAATCACTTGTTTACGCCCACACAAATCTGTATTTTTGCCAAAATTTGGAAGCCGTATCTCAAAATATATATCAAAGTGGGATTTTTCTGGAAACCGTTTATAATCAACAATCAGTTGACTTTTTTATGTATTAATACAACATGAAATGCGATAACGAATTTTCCCATCACGAAACAGAGATTTTAATTTCAGACACACCTTGTTTATGATACAAATAAAACTTCTGATAGCCTTCGCAATATCAGTTTTCAACGACGTGATGAATGTGTTCACGTTACATGTGGTATAAATGTAGTAGTGTTCCCACTGAAAACGTTGAAATAGTTGGTGAGTACAACAAAAATCTAATATTACTCAAATGACATGCATAGAAATATTTTTCACTCTGCATAAAGTTGTATTTCATAATACTACTAGTGTACGAGAAATGGCAGTAAACACGGACATTCAAACGGATATATGACATTGTCGCTATTGTTCAAACAATTGCTTCTGAATACATATTTGACTACATCGTTGATTTTAAGCGTCCTGTCCCTAACTACAATAAATTACCAATGAATTACCATAAAACCATTTATCGCTGGCATTGTGATGTTTAAAGATCTAAATTGTGTGATGAAAATGTACAAATTACGTCTTGTTGTAACGATTTTGACACAAATTTAAAAATGGAGTGTCACCAACAAATCCTGAAGATGAATATGACGTCTCGCCAACTTAAACACGAAACAACCAACGCATTATTCCATTGTTTTGTTTGAATTTCGCCTACCAATGTCGCTGATGCAGAACTATTTATATTCAAAACAGCTAAGAAAATTATGAATCAGTTTTAATTGTGTTGATGTATGTGCATATTTTTAAATATGTTGTCAACACTGCTCCTTCTAACCTTACTTTTTTTTAAAAACAATAAATTTGATAAACAAAGGAAAGTAGAATTATATTCACACTGTGTTCTGTGTGGACATCAAAAACACGATCTGCTTACTTAAGAGAAAGTTAATTATTGAAATTTTACTTAAATTTAAGTAAATACGTTTTTCGGGTGGTGTTTTTCAGCGAAAGCTGAAAAAAAAGGGCACAAAATGCAAAATCCAGTCTGGCCAACTTGCAACACTTAAAAAATGCAAAATCAATCAAGGCAGCTGTGATGTGTCACCAATTCGTTCCAATGATCGTTTTCTAACCTACACTTCAATCAAGATGGTTAAATGTGAAAACACGTTACATTTTCGTTCCGCATGAACTATTATGGAAACAAAATTAGCTGTCACTGTGTACGTCGTCTGCACGAGCCACTATTGCTTCGAATGCCACTTTTCACAAATTTTGTCCACGTTTTTGGGAATTACCTGACTTAGCACAGAAATGTGGTCGACATTGTAATCATCCGCGTGAGATCGCATGAAGCGGTTACACAAACATGATTTTCCGACTCCTGCATGGCCTTTGTCTTTTTCCATGCCGGAGAGGCCCACAACGGCCACATTAATTGTACGAACTGTATCAGCTTTTCGAGCCATGTCGGTGGACTTGTATCAACTCCTATGTGTCATAACGTTGACGATAAATAGTCATTTGAATAATCTGAAAGTAAGCAAAGAGTGTCATTTAAAATTTTAACAAGTTTTTAATGATTTATTTATGTTAGAGACCGAGAGTTATTAATTCTTGTAGTAAGAGCGTGAAGTGACGTGAAATGTGTCAAGTTTTCCATTTTGCGTTTGATTGGGAAGTATGTGGGATTGTTAGATCGGATAATTGGGGGCCTAGGGTATGACACGCTGATGTTGAATCTCAATTGGGGCGATTATGACAACGCTGGCCTGCAAATAATAAGGTAATGTAGGTAACAATTGCTGGGACGGTTCTGGAGGTGTATGATGAATGTCAGGTTGACTTGGACCAGGTGCGAGACATGCTGGGGTCACCGCGACACACACTCACCTGAATATCTGAGATCAAGAAAATATATTTCCGTGCTGGTTTAAAGCTCATTTTAGTCGTAACATGTGAAAAACAAGATATGCCATACCATAATTGACCTGTCACAACTTAATTGCATCGAGATTCGCTCACTTGCGGCCGAAAGCTCGAGATTGTTGACTTTTTTCGAGATTGTTGTTTACGTGAGAATAGCACATTAGATAGTGATATCTATAACAAAATATAACACTGTCAAATTCACATAACAGCCGACCACCCACCGCCTTAGCGAGACGCCATTACAGTATTGGGGGGAATGGGAGGAGAGAGAACGCTCAATAGTGATAGCACAGGCTACTGGGATTATGGCGGGCATTCCTGGGTTCCATGTGCTCAAACGGCTCAAATTTACCTTATCTTAATTACGTGCAAATGACGATTAAACACCACACTGCGTCCTCTCACACGAAAAACCGCCACTGACTAACAATTCGCGGCCGCGGCGGACGGGCAAATGCCGTTTTTCAATAATAAATTTTCATAAAGTTTTTATTTATAGATATGGGGCCGTAAAAAAAGGGACTTTACACCGACCGTAACTCAAATTCGGGAACTAGGAGATAAGCACCGCTTAAATAAACCGTTAAAAAAAGGTTGCGTTTATAGTTTTTTTCTACTATAAAACGCGAGTGCTGCAAAAAATAAAACTAAATTATCAAAAAATTCAAAATAAATCGCGGCCAAACTGAGTGGCAAACCATAAAAGTCTGAATTTGCTGAAATTTACATACACATATAATAAAATAGCGCGAGCTGCGTTCGCTAGGTGCAACTCATCAACACTACTTTTTTCCCAAGCATAGCGTCAGACATAGCAGACTGTAGATATAATAAGACGTGTCAAAGAAAAATATTTCGTTTCAATTAAAAAAGCAAAAACCGTGAAAGTGTTAACATTGCGTTAATTGCCTAATTTACCATAGTTTTTGTTTGATATCAGTGAGAAAGAAAGACAAAAAGCACAAATGTATGTTTTTTAGAAAAAATGACAGTTTAATAATGCAGGAGTCGCCTTTAGTGCAACATAAATTTTATTTTGATGCCTTTGGGAGCTAAATGCATACTGAAGGTGGACATAATTTCAAAACCATATCATACGACCGTCGCCTTCTCATAAAACTGTGTCCCTACGTCCAGTATTCCCCAAATGATTATGCCGAGTAAACATTTATAAATTACGAATCGAGCTAAAACTTTCAATCAACTTAAAACGAGCCCAGCATTATAACAGGCATTTAAAAAAGTGCGTGATGTCATTACGATGCCGAATTTCCGTTGAGTAATAACGCGTGACATTATTTCCGAAATTTTTTCGCTGGTGCAGAAATAATCGTACACATCCATATCCCCAAGCATAAATTTACAAGTTGAAGCCTGGATCCTAGACGTAACGAAATTACAGAGAAATTTCCTCGCGTCGAGCATCTACGCTAACCACCATCTCTGCATTATTCAACACTGAATAATCATAATTTCATATGCACAACATGTGTGATAAATTTTTAATTGGGTTGTGATTAACCTCTTTTCTGAGAAAGTTACTGCGCTCGGAACCCAATTTTAGTCGTTGTTGCACATTTTTCTGTTTGCTGCAACCGAGAGCTCAGGGTATTGTTATACTCAATCAATCTTTCATGTACAAACAGTGGAATTGTTAATGAGCACACAGTTTGGAAAATTTATAATGAAATTCAGCTGTTCTCAATACACACTGTGTCCTGAAATGTTTACTGAAAAATGCCAATTAAAAGGTCAAGTGCTGGGCTCGTGGAAACCGAATAACGTGCTGGTCTTTGCCGCTAATTGCGACATTAACAAGCCGTCCGTTTGTCACTATTATTCGGGACATGAACTGTATAAGGTATTTCGCTTGCCCACTAACAATTTTCCAGTGTAGTTATGTCAACGTCACGCTGTTGTTCAGAGTGGGCTGGAAAATATGCATTTTGTTCGTTATGACTAAGTGAAACGTATTTCCCACATTTATAATCGCTCGGCTTCAAATTTCCAAAGCAGTTTAACTTACAAAATAACTTTTTTCTTCTCACAACGTAAACAACTTGTCAAACAACAAGAGTGGCGTGATTTATTCACAAATTCACAACTATAACAAAGCTTGTAAAGGTTAACGATGTAAAAATCAATGATTTAGGTTTCCTCCAGATTGATTATTATATTCTCCAAGATCTCACAGACGGAGCTAAGGCAGTAAAGTAATTTAATGACGGATAATAACCACGTCTGAGAAGATTTATGGGTCGATCCAAGTACGTCCACGTTGATGTTTATAATTTTCATAATTTGCTATATTACTTTGTTGTTATAAACTGCTTTGGACTTAAACGGGTACCCAAACCTATCAAATTTTGTTTTTTGTGTTTTACCTCTTAAGTCTACCAAGCCAGACAGGTGGTTGGTCAAATTTTCTGGTGATCGCTGTTGCCAACTCTACACATTGTAGTATAGTGGGTTGCATACCCACTAGAAACTTTGTAATTTTTAGTAGTTACGTATCTCCTATCTTGTCTATTTAATTGTTAGGATAAATAAAACGAGTATTATGGTCATACCGATCTTTATTAGCCATTATTGCCAACTATAAAGAATTTTATTACAGTTGCTATGTGCAAACCCTTTAAAATGCGTGACTCAGCACGGACGGAACTTCTCGATTTTTCAAGGATAAATAATAAAATAATTGCACTTATAAAGTCCCTCATGTCATCGCTAAAATTGCATAATACGCAGCTCTGTACTAGTGTGTAGGGGAACTAGATTTGTTACCTAATTTTCCCTCTAGTTTCGTTAATAACCGCGCAAGTGTAATTTGGTTCTCTGGAATGAGAACTGGATCATATAAATCTTGGTAAATGTGGCGAAAGTAGTATCCAGTGGGTACTAATTACATAATTATATCTTAATTGCTGTTTTTATCTTTGATAAATATGGAATTTTATTATGATGATTATTAAATTTCTTGTTTAACAACTTCGCTGGGGTTAAGCGATATCGCCTCGGTATAAATAGCGTCTGAAATATTTGTGTCAAAAATTGTAAAAACCGTGCGACCCGATAGATCTATCTCTAGTCAGCATTTAGAAATCTTTGCAACACAGTTGCCCACAAGGAAACCGTTGCGAAAGAATTCCTAGTGCATTTTACGAGAGCAACGATGCCAGCGATAGACTGTAAACGTGTCGTTTGATAAAGCGCCATCTCGCGGTACCTTATTGATCCACGAGTTTTTTTCAAAACTTTGATCAGATTGATTAAATACGATAATTCCTATCCAAGCTGATCAATGCGCATGCTTTCGGAGCTTTTTCAGTCGTCACGACGCGTCGCCGCTTTCGGCGCCGGCTATTATCAGAGAGGAGAAACTCGATAACCTTGAAGTAGAAAAGAATGTAGAGAAAGTGGAAAAGTTTCTACATTTCTATAACTAAAAATTTAGAATCGCACTGTACAGTTACGTAATTGTTATCTGGTCCAGCTTCCAATAGCGTCAATGTACGTAACGTAGCGAGGTCCGCATTGGCTGTCCCTCAAGGTGTGTGCACGCCTGCCATTTAACCACTTGTTGATTGCATGCTGGTGCCAAGTGAACGGGTTAGTTCGGCAGACCGGTCTTTCTTCGATGTCCTCTGATACAATGGCAAATCAATACCACAAGCTTGAAGCCAAAGCTGTCCAAGAGCTGAAGGACATCGCTAACAAGATCCGCATCCATTCTATCAGTTCCACGCAAACGGCAAAGTCAGGGTGAGTCTGGAAACAAGCAATTAACATTAATTAATCTACGATTGCGCGGTAACTCGTCGTGGCGCGAATGCATTAGATTCGAAAATCTGCCCATGACCCAACACTTTTTTCCACCGATTGTTTTTGTGTAGATGGAGATAAGTCTGCCCCAACCGATAGCTACTTCGCTGATAACTTCAGGTTATTTAAGCGACTGCGTTCTCACGTTCTTTCTTAGTTGTTGTTCAGTGGTCATTCCAATTTATTCAAAATGCCGGCGCAGCTTAGTCAAGCAGACATCAGACTTTTAGCAGATATAGCCAACAGAATCAGAATACATAGTGTCAATTCCACAGCCGCTTGCAACTCGGGGTAAGTGCTACCCCAAAAAAGGGTCACCGAATTTCTAACACTAGGGGTACTAGCAATTACGATAGTTCGCTATAATATCTAACACGTAGTTCCAGTGATTATAACATAGAGCAGTTAGAATAATCGACCTCTATTTGACTTATTTGTTATTCACATTATAACATTGGTGTACTAATAAGAAGCGCGCCCGATCGCTGGAAAAGTTGTATCAGTTTTTCGTACTGGTGCTACCGTTCTCCGAAATGTCATCAAGAGTATGTCACTCCGTTTCAAGATCAAATCCAACATAAATATCAATTTATCGTGATCTTTCATGACCCAGCATTTCATAATCGCAATTATCAGCTTATTATATAATATTTTAGTAAACATATAAATATAATATTTTTGTTTTATATTTAACTAAAAAAAAAAAATCAATAAACATCTGTGGTATTTTCCATAGTGACGTTCTTCTTCGTATAATTACAAGTAATTTTAATCGCTGCATTACACATCAGTTTTTGATGTACATATCGGTTTGTGGTTACATCTATCAATTTGCATACAATACCACGATAACTTATCAAACCAGGAACATTACCGCGATTTGGACCGATTTAAACACCACCCATCACAAAAAGTGGGTGCAATCGTCACAATTCAAGCATTTTTCATTTCAACTGATAAGCAATGCAAACAATACACAATCTATTTAGGCCTTCAACTACGATTAGTGTGATATTTGCAAACTTTAATTTTATTTTAGACATCCGACGTCATGTTCGTCCATCGCCGAAATCCTCTCGGTTCTTTTCTTCAACACCATGCGCTACAAAGTTTCCGCACCTAAAGATGCTTCCAGCGATAGATTCGTGCTTTCCAAGGGTCATGCAGCCCCAGCTTTGTACGCGGCATGGGCCGAAGCCGGTCTTTTCCCAGTCGCCGATCTGCAAAACCTTCGAAAACTGGGTTCCGACTTGGAGGGACATCCCACCCCTCGTTTGAATTTCGTTGACGTCGGCACCGGTTCTCTTGGACAGGGTTTGGCCATTGCTGGTGGAATGGCTTTCGTAGGTAAAAACTACGACAAAGCTAACTACAGGTGCGCGGTTCATTCGGCTTGATCGTCAATTTATGTTGTTATTTCCCGCAGGGTATATTGTCTCGTTGGAGATGGCGAAAGCGCCGAGGGTTCAATCTGGGAGTCCATCCATTTTGCTAGCTACTACAAACTTGATAATCTCTGTGTGATTTTTGACGTAAACCGTCTTGGGCAATCGGAACCCACTTCTCTGGGTCACGATATCGATACATACCGCAAACGCTTGGAGGCGTTCGGGTTTAATGCAGTGGCTGTCGACGGGCATGACGTCGAGGAGCTAGTGAAAGCCTTCCATGTTGCAGCCAGCACCAAAGGCAAGCCCACTGCAATCATCGCGAAGACTTACAAAGGGAAGAACTTCCCGAAAATCGAAGATCTGGAAAATTGGCATGGCAAGCCTTTGGGGGATCAAGCGGAAAGAGTGCTTCAACATCTGAAATCTTTAGTCAAGAACACAGGACCGTTGCAGATCCATCCACAGAAACCTTTGGTGGATGACGCTCCTGTTGTTGACATTACCAACATCAAACTGTCTTCAGCACCGTCGTACAAAATCGGCGATAGCCTTGCTACGAGAGTAGCATACGGTACTGCTTTGGTTAAAATCGCACAGAATAACCCAAGAGTGATTGCTCTTGATGGTGATATGAAAAATTCAACTTATTCTGAAGCGTTGAAAAAGTTCGATGCAACGAGATACATCGAGTGCTTCATTGCTGAACAAAATCTCGTAGGTGTTGCTATTGGTGCTACTTGCAGGGATCGCACAGTTGCGTTTGTTTCCACATTCGCAACTTTCCTAACTAGAGCTTATGACCAGGTACGACCTTCTTAATATTGTGGTACTTTCTAACTGGAATTTTCAGATTCGTATGGGTGCTATTTCTCAAACCAACGTTAATTTCGTTGGTTCTCACTGCGGTGTGAGTATTGGTGAGGATGGACCTAGTCAGATGGGTCTTGAAGACATCGCCATGTTCCGTACTATCCCCGGAAGTACCGTATTTTACCCCGCTGATGCTGTTTCTGTAGAACGCGCGGTTGAATTAGCAGCCAATACTAAAGGAATCACCTTCATTAGAACAAATCGTCCAGCGACGGCTGTCATCTATCCCAACAATCAAGTATTCGAGGTAAGAACGTTTCTGAGAAGTGGAGCCAAAGCCGAAAGGGCCAATACATAATATACACAAATATTTCCTTTTACAGATCGGAAAAGCCCACGTCGTGAAGAAGTCCGGCAACGATCAAATTCTCGTGATTGGTGGCGGCGTTACTCTTCACGAATCCATCAGCGCGGCCACCGAATTGGCCAAATCGGGTGTTGGCGTGAGGGTTTTGGATCTCTTCACTGTCAAACCCCTTGACAAGGAAGCTATCATCAAAAACGCTAAAGAATGCGGAGGAAGAATCCTCGTGGTGGAAGAACACTACTACGAAGGCGGTATCGGTGAAGCTGTAACTGCTGCCGTTTCAGAAGAACGCGATATTATTGTGAAGCACATCGCAGTTCCCAGGGTTCCGCGTTCCGGAACTCCTACTGCTCTTCTCGACTATTATGGCCTTAACTCCAAACACATTGTCAATTACGTGCAAGACACCTTGAAATTGTAGTTTGTTAACAATTTTAAATTTGACATTCCATATATTTGTAAATGGAGCTTGGGTTGTAAACATTCCATTTGTAATTTGAAATTTTTAATAAATATTTTTCAAAAAATGTTGGGATTTTGATTGATTTGGGTCGGGGTTGTGGTTGTAGCACTGTTTGCTGACATGTGCTTTGAAAGGTGCTTGCGCTCTGTGAGCGCTGCACATGACGCAACGGTTTGAGGTTAAATTTCCACGATGTTTTAGACGAAGACTACAATTCGTTTAGTGTAGTCAAAATTAAGGCCGCTGGAAGTTTGGTGAAAAAAAATGTGTGAAAGTGTCCGCTCCGTTTCATTTTTACGTTTATTAACCACTTGGATTCAACACTGTCAAATGTCAATCGGGTTTTGACAGTCACGGTAATTTTACCTGGGTAAATTTAACTAAATTAACTTCATTATCACAAAATATATAATTCATCATTTCTACAAACGGAAATTGATTCTAATCCCAAAGGCGCTAATTCTAAGAATTGCATCATTTTTCACTTTGTCATGTTGGCCGGCCTGCAACGATTGTGTGTTTAAAGGCGGCTAAATTTAACAGTAATTGCAACCAGATTATTGAAGTAGAAGTACGTGATGGTGTTAGTGTAGCCCCCCAAAATTTCATTCACTTGTTTACCGTCGGTATATTAATCGAGACAACAGGTCTGTAATTTGCTAGATTAAACGTCGCTCTTCATGAGTCTATTTATAAAAAATCAGTGCACACAGTACGGGTTTCATTTCGTCTTTCGCAAAAATGGGTACACAATAGCTTCAAAGTCAAGTTATTTCGAAAAATTGAAGAAGTGCGTCTGGTGGTAAGTACAATTTTTTGTTTACGCTTAAACAATGCAAAACCTCTTACCTAATTGCCTCTTTCACCCACTTTCAATGACATGCTCCAGCGAGATATACGTAATGTAACGTAAATTTTCGACAAAATCACGAGACGGTTTACATAATCTTGAAAAATAAATTCAACCAACTAATCAAACGCACTTTTACTACGTGCCGAGTAATCATCATGAGATGCACCTTTGGTAAAAAATCTGGAGCAGAGTAAACCACGTGCGTGACGTCACTTCCGTTGATAGGGTTTACTTTCCTTTTTTAATTAAGACCCTTCCCACATTTCTGTGGAATTTTTAATTTTTAATAAAATATCAAACGTAATGAATTCGCTTGCTTAGCCTTGACTTAAGTATCCTATTGAATTAATAACATACTCCTGAGACATTTTCATTATGGAACGGAAATAAGAATTGATGGGAAGATGCGTTTAAATGAAGGTCGGAATTATATTGTGACTTCTTACAAAATGTTCATCTGGTAACAATTTTGGCAAAGCTGACGCGCTAATTTTAACCGGCGTTTCGTAATTTTAAAAACGACAATAGTATCAGTGTGACATTTTCAGTATTCAAATAATCTTTACAAACTTATTAACCTTTCAAGGTTGTTAAAATTGTCGTTAAGTTAATCGGTAACAGCTTATCGCGGCCTTAAACATAACGTTGGTAATACTAAACGGTCCTTTATTTACAATTACTAGTGTTTAAACATTGCGAGAAATCATGCTAATTTGAAAATCGTAATCACCTGAAGTTTGCACATTTTAAATTTGCCCCTCACTGCGCCGCCTAGTGACAAAACTGTAAACCATGAAAACAATGACATGTTTTTAAATGGAATGCCAGGACTTCAGGAGTGTACTTAAAATCTTTTTAAGCACTTTCTACGATTGTTTGGCAGTGCACAATGGATAAATTCGTTAAAACGATAAAGAGTTTTAACACTTAAATTTGATGTTTTCTTTACATTTTAGTAGGTCGACAACACTAGGTCGCTAGAGACATTTTTTGCAAAATTCACCAATATTATATACACTGGAAAATTACAGTGGACGAGGTCCTAGTGTTTCCTTCCACAAGAACACTCTTGTGAATGACAGTTTTGTTTAATAATACGTGCGTTTCGCATTGTCCAGCTCAGCACGTGTCCGACGTGGTATCTATAGTAAACAAAAAAATGCGAATGGGAGTAATGTATTAAATAAGCATCACCCATCCCAGTACTTAGTTCGCTGTCATTATCTGATTGAAGAAAATCGTGCAAATTCGCGCATCTATAAAAATTGTGCATTTCGAAATTATTCCTCTTGGACTACTGGCAAAACCCTATTGCGCAAGGTAAGACAAATTTCAAAATAATTTGCATTTGTGGCGGTTTAAATATAAAAATAGGGCGGAATTTGGTGTAATCTTGCCCAATTGGATGCAACAGAAACTGTGTACTTTCTCTTGTTGGTGAACTTGAAAGCGTCTCTGGATCACCGCGTCCGCTACGTGATAAAAATCAGGGAGAGTTCTACGCTCCGTTAGCACATTCTTCTCTCATATCATTGTATCAATTGAATATTTATTGACGTTTTGATTAAAAAAACCCAAGCCGCCAATTCGCCAGGTTTTTCATTCAACCGATAAAGCATTTGTGAACCCTAATTTTGGCGCACAAATATTTACTTGTGATATCCATGACATCGGTTCGATCAAGAAGCTGCAATTGGCAATTGTGAGCTATTATTACTTTTATGGCCACTATAACACAATAAAAAGCTACACGTAGTTATTGTGAGGAAAATTGATGATTTTTTTTATGATGAAATTAAGCAAAATAGCAACGACCTCTGTGGAAAGTAACAGCAATTAAGTTAGCGCGTAGTCTGGTACCACCCACGTTTGGCTAGACGGTGGTATGTTTCTCTAATTCGCCGGAGGACACGGAATTTTATTCTCGAGGGGTAAAGGTAACCGCTCGAAAGGTCATTATCACGAGGCACAATTAGGAAAATTGCCGCATGACATGCGCAAGAGCAACGTAGCGAGAAACCCGCAAAATCGTGCATTTGTACAGACAGTACGGACGGTTTTTGAGCATTTGTAAGTTATAGACGTTATTTTTGTAGTTAAAATTTTTTAAATCGTCTGAATCAGCGTAATTTTGTTAGCGCCATCTAACGGAACACATTCACTGTTAATACAGCGTACAGGGCCATCTATGGAAGAAGACCATTGCCACATTTCCACAAAAAAATATAGTTTTAAGTAAAAATTTGTTATAGTTTTTATGTTTGTCATATGTCGCAGTCGGGTATTGAAAAGCCGAGCCTAAAATCCTTGAACTGCACTGTAAATTTGTTCTCAAAAAACTATTTGCAAAGCATTTAAAATGATGTGTTATTTAATATTGGAAAAGGAGTGTTGGAACGTTACGTAAGAATAAGATCTGCGTATTTAAAATTCGGGATATATTTTTTAGCAAAAAATTTTACACTCCAAATTTAATTATTAAATACTTAACAATAGTATGTGAACTTCGAAAATTGTTAATTTTCTTTAGAAACTCGTGACGTGGTAGCAGAATTGGCCGGATGACTAAAAACATTACAAGTAAATATAATAAATATTGTATATATCGTGGAAACTGACACATGATCCACAATGTAAATAAATTTATGTGCAAAGTTACAACAATCAGCCAAAACTATTTTTATCTGCAAGTCCACCCGTGAAGTAATAACTCTTAAGCAGTCATTTCAGAACATTTTTCGTCACGGCGTGCCAACACGTTTTAAATCTTTGAAAATATAACCGATTCCAAAACCGTGTCGTCCTCAAGCTGTGTCCTCAAGTTCAATCATGATGATACAGCACTAATCACACGATCGTGTATATCGTGTTGCATATATCACGACTACCAACTTGATACCATTTAATTTAAACTATGTTATCAATATTAACTGAAAGATGTCGTAACGTTTGCGATAAACCGGTTTACGATATGCACTTCACGAAATCATTGACATTGACTTAGAAATAAATACAAGTAAATTGTAATAAAAACAAAAGTAAATCCAGAAGGCTATGAAGCATTTTTTTTTAAACTACATTACGTGTAGAATACGTTGTACATTTGTATACTTATAATAATTATAAAACTTAAGTAGAGTTCTTTGTAAAAGTTTTCTAAACAGTGTTGCAAAATAGTTGGTTGCCTATTCTACAGACTGATTTACTGGAAAAATACAAAAGTTCGGTTCCTTTCTATTATGGAAAACTCTCTAATTTTAATAACAGTAAATTCGGTAATTAAATTTAATCGGGGACGTGGATTACGTGCCAGTCTACTTTTATTTATTATATTTGACATAATTATATATACGATATATTAGAGATGCGGTATGTGCGAAATTTTATTCATCACGTGAAAGTGATTTATTTTCCGCTTTGAACGCACGCCAAAACCGTTTATTTATATATAAATAAAGTTCATTGTTAGAAAACAAAGTTATTATGAATACAACGATGCAATTTGCGAAAATCGGCCTTAATTAACTGTCGCAACTGCAATCTGTTTGTATTCCCACGTGTACTGGTTGTATTAACTGAGAAAGCAGTCGTAAATAATCGAATTTAATTGACGTCACTCTATAATGACTAAGTAGAAAATTTTCTGCGAAAATAAAGCGGTGCTTGTCATGGAAACCCTAGCAGCGTTAATGGATAATGAAGAACTTGTTTTGATTTTTTAAGATCGATATGACCAGTCATTTTTATCTCTCGGTACAGAACTTTCGCATTATGGGTTGTAATGGAGAGTGGGTTTTCCAACGGCTTCAAGTAGCAAAACCAGTCCGGGTCACTTTTAGGTCCGAGTTTATTTACGTGTTTTGCAACTGAGTTCTGAAAATATGCGACTATTTAGTAAAGTAATAATGACTCAAGTTCAAGGTCGAAAAGAATCGTTAAACATCCTACTATGACTAGTATGACAAAACAATAGAATCGTTAAGTAAACGTAAAAAGCGATAACGTAGCAATTCCGAAACATTTATGGCAAACATTTGTTTGAATACTGTATTATTACAAAAATCGTTTCGCTCGTGTTAATACTTAAGACTTGATGTCACTTTTTGAATACAATGTATAGCAAAAAAAATACTTGCTACCCATATCAGAATACGCCGCTTATTCCTAAAATTCAAAAATCGTGGCTCAGACAAGTTATTAAGTCGCATCTGCCAATCGATCGAATATTTTTATTACAGAGATATTTACATCGTTTTTGCTAATTCCAAGTTAAACTAACACATAAAAACATAGTGAAAAGGAAACGACAAACAAGACGTGGTCGCCCCATGTTACAAATTTCCGTACTTCAGTTAATCAATGCGAAAATTGTAGTAAGTTTTTACGTAATTGCAACCACAGTAAATCGATTTTGTGGAAGTAATTACGCCACTTTTTCTCTGTTGTTTGAATTGGTTACAATATCGTTCGGTGTAAATCACTCAATAACTTTTTAAATAAACCTTGAGGAAGTGTCTTTAACAACACAGACGACCTTGTCTCACTCCGTAATTTAGAAATCGCGCGAAAATTTTCTAAACTACGGGAAATGCTCTCATTTTCCTATTATGACATCCCGTTCCCCAGAACCACGTACCACATTGTAACTAAAAATTTTCTTTATTTGCTTCAAAACTAATGTGTTTTTTTTTAAGTGGAAATTTTGCCAAGTTTAAGCCAGGTGCGAACTTGTATTCAACAACGTTATTATTTGACTTATCTTTTAACGTCTTGGCGAAATTCTTTGACAGTGACACATGTAAACACTTTTATTTTGTGGCCAAAGTATTGCATACATTAATATAATTGCGCGATTTTTTTATCGATACTCATACCCGTGGGACTTAATTACCCTCAGGACTATTATTTTCATTAAAGGTAATTTTCGACCTTTGTTGTCGGGTTTTCTA